AGCCCCTCCTCCCTCAGACCCAGGAGTCCAAACCCCAGCCCCTCCTCCCTCAGACCTAGGAGTCCAGACCCCAGCCCCTCCTCCCTCAGACCCAGTGTCCAGACCCCCAGCCCCTCCTCCCTCAGACCCAGGAGTCCAGACCCCCAGCCCTCCTCCCGCAGACCCTGGAATCCAGAACCCTAGCCCCTCCTCCCTCAGACCCAGGAGTCCAAACCCCAGCCCCTCCTCCCTAAGTTTCAGTATTCTCAGACTCCAGCCACCTCAAGCCCCAGGGCTCAGCCCAGCAGAGGGGTCTAGCTATGGGAACATGATATTTATTCGGTCTCAGACCTTGTTCTCTGACCACAACGCAAGCACCTTTGTATCTTAGACCCTCTATCCGGGAGGACTACTCTGTAACTAGGCACGCCGGGAGCGTAGGGTTTTCCCTCACTGTGGGGATGTGCAGGCCGGCAGGACTCGGTGGGGCTCACGCGAAGTTGTTGGGGAGTGTGGCAGGGGAAAGGGCCTCCAGACACTGCGGGAGGCCCCCGCGGGGCGGCGGGGGCAGCTTGGGTGGCAGCGGAGGTGTGGGTGGGGGCTGCTTGGTGGCAATGTGGGAAGGGACCCAGGCATCCAGCGCATAAAAGTAGAGGTCGTAGGGGTCTTTCGGGGCGTCCAAATGCAGAACTGTGGGAGCAAAGGGGTGAGGTCATCTCCAGGCTGACCCTCCAGGCCCCCTTCCTGGTCATCTCCAGGGGGCCTGTCCCCTTTTGTGCGGCTGACCAATCGGGAGGCCGGAGAGAGGATTCCGATTCTGCATTTGAACTGAGTTTTCAATCAAAAGGGTGGGGGTCGCTGCAGAAACCACGAGGCGTGGCGTCCGAGCTGCAGGGCGAGGCCTGCAGTGGAAGGCGGGGAGTGCAGGGCTCCTGGCGGTGCACCTGAAGGGGCAGGGGTGGGGACTGCGGGGACGGTGGGCCTGAAGCCATCTCCAACTGCATTGGGAGGGGGACTGGACATGTGTGTGAAATTGCAGACAGTTAGGGGGCTGGACGTGGCCATGGAGAAGTCAGGGTTTTCACTGACCTTGGGTGGGGGACCTGCGCTTTTTGGCTGGGCCCCCTAAAGTGCCGGAAGAGACCGGGTTTTGGAAACGTACAGGCATTCCAGGGACAGGGCGCTCACCCGGTTCATCTCCGTGGTCCGGAAGCCGGTGGTGTGCGAAGGGCCGGTGTCGAGCTGCCTGGCGGTAGAGACACCAGAGCAGCACAAAGATGCCGATCAGCAGCGCGGTCCCCGCGAAGAACAGGCAGAGGGCCCCGCCTGCTGCGCCACGTGGTCGCCCCACCAGAGTCACGCCTGGAGGGGGAAACCAGCAATCTAAGCTCCTAACCCCCTCCTCTTTTAGACCTAGGGGTCCAGGCTTCTAGCCCCTCCTCCCTCAGACCCATGAATCCCTGTTCCCAAACCTTTCTCCCTCAGACCCAGGAGTCCAGGACCCCAGCCCCTCCTCCTTCAGACTCAGGAGTTCTCCCGCCCCTCACCGGTCTTCTTCACTCGCTCCACCACGATGATCGTGTTGACTCCCTCACTTCGGCTGTGCCTCTGGGGTGCCCGCAGAGTAGCAGGGGCCAACTGATTTGGGGCCCCTGGAAGAGCAGAGGGACCTGCAATCCGGGCTGAGGGAGGAGGGGCGCTGGACCCCTTAGGGCCAGAGTTCTGGGGAGCCTTCGGCTCAACCATTCCTGGAAAATCTGAAGTGGGCAGTTTCTGGGGGTCGGGCTGGATAGCTGCAGCAGTTTCTGGTTTGGGATTCAGGGACAGCTCATGTAGGGCAGTGGCTTCATCCTTGAAAGGTGCAGGTGTTTCTGGGTAAAGACTAGTGGAGATTTGAGGGTCGGAGGTCCTGGGGACATCTGTTGCATTTTGATAGTAGGTTTTGGGGAATTCTCTTTGGGAAATTTCAGTGGGGCTGGGATTGTGGGTCACATGGGATTCTGGGTGGAGGGTTTTAGAAGGGTCAGGATGGAGGGCCTGGAGAAATTCAGAGTTTGGGGTCTCAGTGGAGTTGAGGTCATGGTTTTCTGGGGATTTGGGGTCAGGGGTCTTGGTAGGGGCAGTGTTTGGGGTCTCAGGGATTTCTGCAAAAAAGCTTTCAGTGGCATTAAGTTGGGGACTCCCTGGGGATTCTTGGTGTATAGTTTGCATAATGGCAGTGTTTGGGGTCTCGGGAAATTCTGGGCCTGAAGTTTTGGAGGAGATACGTTTTGGGGTCTCAAGGGATCCTGGGTGTGGAATTTCAGTTGGATCGGGTGTAGGGGTCTCAGAAGACTCTGGGTGTGTCATTTTAGAGAGATTAGTTTTTGGGATGTCCAGAGATTCTGTTATTGAGGTTGCGAGTGAGTCAGCTTTGGGGGTCTCAGGAGACTCTGGGTGTGGGGTTTCTTGGAGGTCAGGGCTGGGGGTCTCGCTGAAGTCAAGTGGGGAGGTTTCAAGGGAAACTATATGAGGTGGTTTGGAAGGCTCAGGGTAAGCAGTCCCAGGGAATTCTGGGTTAAGGCGATCTCGTGTGGAATTTTCAGAAGTGCGAGGGAAGGCCTCAGAGGGGTGGGCCACGTCTGGAAACCCAGAGCCCAAAGGAGGGGCTGAGGGAGCGGCCTTGGACCTCAGCCTGGCGAGGAGGAAGATGAGGAAAAGGATCCGGCTGAGTGATTCCATAGCTCTGGGAGATACCTACAGCTGCGGAGGGGAAGCCGGAAGGAAGGGGTTAAGGCCGAAGGCTCCCCGAGCCCCGCCCACTCCGAGGCCACGCCCAAAACCCTGCAGGTGGACCGCGTGGGTCCGGGGCCCAGCTGGGCGCCAGGGATGTGAGAATAACCTAATCGCAAGTCCCTGCAGGCTGTGGGGCGGTGGCCGCGGTAGCCAAGGGAGACTGAGGCTTGGGGCTTCTTGGGAGTCGTAGTTAATTTCCTTATTTGTTTCACCGAGGGGTCCTGGAAAAAATTGGGAAAGAACGACACCTCTCCAGGTCTCCAGGTCTCCTCGACTTCGACTTTGAAGGGTGACAGGCCTTGGAGGGGACATGGAATCATCTTCCTGAGGGCTCCCGGGACACCTTGACTCAACAGTTGTTTACGCTACTGGAGGCTCGTAACGGCTGGGTGCTGGACTCTCGGATTTGAGGGAGGAGGGAGACGTTTGGACCACGGGCAAGAAAGTTGCTGGGGGTTCAGACTCCTGGGTCTCGCAGGGTGAGGGGGCTGAGGTTCCTAGCTCCTGGTTCTTTAGGGAGGAGAAGGCTGGAAGTTCAGATGCCTAGAATTTTGAGGGAGCAAGGTTTGAGGGCTGGATTACAGGGGTGAAAGGACATAAGAGGCCTTGGACTCCTGGTTCCTGAGTTAGAAAGGAATTGGGAGCTCTGAGTCCTTTAGAAATAGGGTCTGTGGGTCTGGGCTCTGCAGAGTTGAAGAAGACAGCCGTGGGGCAGGACTCTCAAGTCTGTTGTTGAGGATGGAGCTAGGATTTCAGCATCTCTGGGGCTAGTCTGGGCAGAGATGCTTAGATCTGTGTTCAGGTGGAGGTAGAGGCAACAGACACCTCGATGGGACAGGCTTACTGGAGGTCCTGGGGTCTCTTACCTGCCCTGGTGTCCAAGGTAACAGCAGATGAGCAGAGCTGGATGCAGAGAACAGTGAATGTTGCAGAATGGCTCTGTGTGGGGCGGTGGGAGGCAGGGTCTCAGGGGCACACAGGTGATGCACCTGACCCCCTCCCAGGGGATCCTGGGAGCCTAGCAACACACTTAGACTCTTAAAGAGACAGAAGTAAAGGACATCGTCTCTGGGGTGGGTAAGGGAGTTAGAAACTGGGATGCTGTAGTGGAGATGTGGCCCATCAAACTGTGTGTTTGAAACCAGTGGTCCTGGCCCTCTACCCTCTCCTACCTGGAAACCTAGTGGTCTCATTCCCTGGTACCTTCCTATTTCAAATCCCCTAACTTTCATCCCCCAGCTCCCTCCTCCCAGATCCAGAAGTCCAGGCCTCTAGCTCCTTCCTTCCTCAGATCCAGGAATCCAAGTCCCCAGCTTTCTTCTTCCCCAGAACCTGGGACTCTGGGTCCCTGTCGCATCCACTCTTAGACTCAGGAGTCCAAGCATCTGCCACCACCCTCCTAGGAAATTAAGAGCCCAAGTTCCCATATCCCAAATAGCTGCTGCTCTGTAGGACTTCCAAGTTTTGCCCATCTCCTCCTCACTGTGTATAGAGGTCCCTCTTTTCTCTCTCTCTCTTTTTTTTTTTTTTTTGAGATAGAATCTTGCTCTGTCACCCAGGCTGGAGTGTAGTGGTGCCACCTCGGCTCACTGCAACTTCTGCCTCCTGGGTTCAAGCAATTCTAACGCCTCAACCTCCCGAGTAGCTGGAATTACAGGTGCCCACCACTGCATCTAGCATAATTTTTGTATTTTTGTAGAGATGGGGTTTCGCCATGTTGCCCAGGCTGGTCTCGAACTCCTGACCTCAAGTCATCTGCCCACCTCGGTCTTCGGAAAGTGCTGGGATTACAGGTGTGAGCCCCCGTGCCTGACTGAGGCCCCTCGTAAGAGTCAGTGTGAGGAAGACTGGGCTTTAATCTTTACAGCACCCCAAACTCCTCCCAGATAAGGGCTTAGACGCATCCTTAGGGCAGCTCAGGAGCCCCTTCTCTTCCCCTCTTCACACTCTCTCGGGGCCTTTTCTGATGTTTGCCTGTCACTTTTCCTGTCCTCGAACCCCTGCCACACATATCCTTTGCCATCTCTTGCCTTTTCCTCCTCCCTGTCTCGCCCTCGATCTTTCTGGTTCTCTCCCTGCTGGATTTATCTCTGGGCAGCTCTGTCCAGCCTAGGATGTCCTTCCATTTCCGTCTGTCTTTTTGAGAGCCTTTTCTTTCATTCCTCCATCTCCATCTGACTGTTTGTCTCCGTCTCCTTCCCTCTCTGTTCTTGCTTTCTTCCTTTTTATTTCTTTTTGTGTCATTCCCTTTCTTACTCTCTATTTCCTCCTTGGCCACTCTGTCTTTGTCCTTCTCTTTGTGTCTCTGTTTCTCTGACGGTCCTTCCGCCAGTCTCTATTTTTATCCTTCTGACACACCCCCTGTGTCCACCTCTCTGTCTGTCTGTCTCTCCCCCTCCCTCGTCTCAGGTCCAGCTTCTGGTCCCAATTAGTTGGTGGCGGCCAAGGCAGCGGCAGGTCCCCCACCCCCGGCTCCTCATTACCGCTGGCGGCTCCTAATGAGCCTGGGGAGGGGTGACCCCGCGCCCCCGGCCCCCCGGCCTGCGTCACTGCTCGGCGCGGGGGCTGCGGAGGCGATATAAGGGGGCTGCCAGCGCCGCTGCCCGAGCCCACTGCGCGGTAGGGGGCCGTGCGTGAAGCGGAGGGTGGGTGCGTGGTGGGGCCCGGGGTTCTGGGCCGGGATGCCGCCCCGCTGAGCCCCTTTCTGGTTCTTCACAGGTGATGGAGGCCCGCCAGGTGTCCACGAGCCCTCGGGTTCGGCGGCTGCTGCTGCTCCTGCTGCTGCTGGTGCCCTGGGGCGTCCGCACTGTCTCGGGAGTCGCCCTGCCCCCCGCAGGGGTCCTCAGGTAGGTGCCAGGCCCAGGACTCCCAGGGAAGGCTGGGGACTTGGAGAAGTGGGAAGAGAACCAAAGAGAAAGGCGGAGGAAGACCCAGAAAGGGGGACAGAAACCCAAAGAGAGGGCGACCAAGACCCAGCGAGAAAAAGAGCCTAGGAGTGGGGGAACACCGGAGGGGGGTTTGGTGGTGGTAATGGTGCGGGAAATGGACAGGGAATCAGCAAGAGAAAGAGACACAGAAAGACAGATCCTGAGAAAGGCGTAGAGAGGCTCGAAAGGAGTAGATGCAGAAAGGGATTCATCTTTTGAGTAACCTTTATTGGGTTCTTGGTGCGCTCCTGGCCATGCGCGGAGCGCTGGGGGCGGACAGGTGCGTCAGACTGGCTCTCGGTACCCAGGGAGTTTCGAACCTGGTGAGTAGAGGGACAGAGACCCACACAGAGAACGAGAGAGACGGGGGGAGCCAGACCGAGCCACTCCACGGACGGGGCAGTAACAGGGCTTCGAGTTAGACCGCGGGGAGGACAGGCGGCGGCGAGCGCGGGTCTGGACGCGTGGTCGTCGCGTCTCTCCACAGCCTCCGCACCCCAGGACGGGCCTGGGTGGATCCCACCACCCCCCGGCCGCGGAGGAGCTTGGCGCTGGCGGACGACGCGGCCTTCCGGGAGCGCGCGCGGTTGCTGGCCGCCCTCGAGCGCCGCCACTGGCTGAACTCGTACATGCACAAGCTGCTGGTGCTGGACGCGCCCTGAGCGCGCCGCCGGTCCCCGCCTTAATAAAGACCCTGCCGTGCGCTCTGGACTACGACTCTTTCCTGTTCGACCTGCATGTGTGTTGGGTTGGGGGGCGGGGCGGGAAAGGGGGGATAGAAAAGAGACAGGACTCTGTGTCGGCCCCTCTGGCATCTCTCCCTTCAGTCCCCACTCTATTTTCTTTCCCCAATTCGGTTTCTCTGCCTCGGTCTTTCTCTGTCCAGGCAACTGGCTTCTTTCCTATTTCTGGATATTTGCTTCCCTACCGCCCCCCGCCCCCAGCTCTGTTGTCTCCTTTCACTCTGGGCCCCGGTCCCTCCCTCCCCCCATCTCTGCCCCCTTTTCTCTGGTTCTCTGTAATCTCCAAGGTCTCTGCCCCCTCTGTCTCTGCCCCCTTATCTGGGTCTCTTTCCTCTCTGGGTGTGTGTCCTCGTCTCTTTGAGTCCTTGTAGGAATCTCCCCTAACGCCCTCTTAGCTTCCTAGTCTTCTGCCTCCTCTCTCTATTCTCTTTCTGCCTCTGAAACTCTTCCTTCCCTTCTCCATTACTTTCTTTTTTCCTTTTTCCTCTGCCCGACTCCTTCCTATCTTCCTTTTTTTTTTTCCCCCCTCCTTTGGGTTTCTGTCTCTCCACCGGCTCTCATCTTTGAATTTCGCGGTTCCTCCCTCCCATCACTTCCACACTTCTCCCCAGGCACAGTGGAAAAAAGATTGCGGGGCTCTGGTGTGAGGCAGCCCTGACATCCAAACCCAGGGTCCTCCAAATCTAGCTGCGGCCTCGTATTGAGAACGTCTTCTTGACGTCAGTCTCTGTGCTTCCTGCTCTTCATCTGTTACGAGGATCCAATAAGATATACTTAATGAGAACAGCGCCCGTCACATAGCGAAACGCCTTTGTTTGAAAAGGGTTTCCTCCTCTCACAGCAGCCTCCAGCAATTTTCTCAGGGTTTTCTGACTTCAGGCGTCTTTCTCGGGAGACCACTGGGGCGCCAGGCTGGGGCAGGAGGAGAGGAGAGAGGAGCAGACGTCAGGCTCCAAAAAGGACAGAGGAAGGGCGGGGAGATACCTGGGCCGCAGGTGAAGCGAGAAAACAGCCAATCAAAATCTGCATCTCTCCCAGGAGTTTCAGCTTGCCCTTCAGCTCCGCCCCTCAATGGTAACCATGGCAACCCGGTGGTTCGCAGAGGGCTAGATCACCGTGCCTGGGGCGCCGCTCGTGCGGACCGCGCTCTGATTGGTCTAAAGAGGGTGGAGCTTGGGGACGTCCGCTGCGCGGGAAGCTGGGCCGCCGCGTGTGGTTGGCAAGGTCTCCCAAAATTTGCATTTTCGGGAGGCGGACCGAGCCCTAATTGGTCCTTGGGCTGTGGGGGCGGGACTGTTTCCTCTGTCATTCAGATACCGAATAACAAATGAAAAACTGCATTCCTCAAAACCCTCTGGAGTTGGCCTAATTTTACAAATAAGACCGAGAGTCAGGAGGAATTTTCCTAAGTTGTTAGAGCTACCGAGAGACAAAAGGATAAATGGAACCCAGATACGTGTAATTTCAAAAGCCTAGACTTTTCCGCTACTCTCATGGATAAATGGAATTAAAACATTAATGAGCAGTTGCTATATACCAGGTACTCTTCTAAGTGCTGTATTTGTATTAGCTTTTTTAACTTCTCAACAACCCTATGAAGAGCCTCCTCCTGTTTCCCCGAAGGCCTGGTAGCTGGGTACTGGCCTGGTCTCTTCCCATACTCTATTTTCTCCCCATCCCTTTCCGAACACTTGAGGTTTTTGCCCAAAATGGTGTCTGGAACCTCCTCCCTCCGCAAATTCAGCAGTCCCCACACTTTCTGCCACCGCCCACAGGTGACAACACCCAGACCCCCTTCTCCAGCCTGGGAGCTCAGGGCTTAGGACACCAGCCTCTAAATGAACCGAGTCTTTCACTGAACCCACTCCTTATCATGGGTTTCCTATCTTGGGAAGGGTTCCACTGTCTACTAGTCACTGGGCCACGTCCCAGGGGCTGTCCTTGCCCTGCCCCTTTCGCCATCCTTTACAGCTCGTCAGTCTGCAGCCAGATCAATCCCGCCCAGTCCTGCCTCTGCTCTTCCCTCCTCTCCACCCGCATGCCCTGCCTCAGGCCTCCTCCTTCTCTCCCACCTGGACCACAGCCCTAGACTCCTCCCCACCTGCTGAGCTCCATTTTCATTCCCTTCATTCATCTCCTCTACAGGCCCTGAATGCTCCACTTCCCACCCAGAGCTCTGCCTTCCCCTGCTCACAGCCCTTTCATGGGCACTGGGGAATAAAGTTCAAGCCGGTGTTCAAACCCCTTCATGGGCTCTTGCCTACCTCTCTTATTTCCCACCACTCTGTGGCCTCCAATCCTTCCCCGGCTGCAAATCTTTTTTATTTTTATTTTATTTTTTATTTTATTTTATTTTTTTTCTGAGACGGAGTTTTGGTCTTGTTACCCAGGCTGGAGTGCAATGGCGCGATCTCGGCTCACCGCAACCTCTGCCTCCTGGGTTCAAGCAATTCTCCTGCCTCAGCCTCCCGAGTAGCTGGGACTACAGGCACGTGCCACCATGACCAGCTAATTTTTGTATTTTTAGTAGAGACGGGGTTTCACCATGTTGACCAGGATGGTCTCGATCTCTTGACCTCGTGATCCACCCACCTCGGCCTCCCAAAGTGCTGGGATTATAGGCGTGAGCCACCGTGCCCGGCCTATTTTTATTTTTAAACCAGCAACAGGATGCTGGCCATGGCTTTCCACGCACACTGGTCTCTTTTCCACCTCTATGACACCCTCCCTGGGCCCCTGCTGACTAAAACGCAAACCTTACTCATCTTTCCATTTTTTTCTTGAGATCAGAGTTTCGTTCTTGTTGCCCAGGCTGGAGTGCAATGGTGCAACCTCCGCCTCCCAGTTCAAGCAATTCTCCTGCCTCAGCCACCCGAGTAGCTGGGACTACAGGCATGTGCCACCACACCCAGCTAATTTTTGTATTTTTAGTAGAGATGGGGTTTCACCGTGTTGACCAGGATGGTCTCGATCTCTTGACTTTGTGATCCACTCGCCTCAGCTTCCCAAAGTGCTGGGATTATAGGTGTGAGACACCGTGCCCGGCCTCCTTTTTGTGAGATGAAATTTCCCTTTTGTTGCCCAACGTGGAGTGCAATGGTGCAATCTTGGCTCACTGCAACCTGTGCCTCCCAGGTTCAAGTGATTCTCCTGCCTCGGCCTCTAGAGTAGCTGGGATTACAGGTGCCTGCCACCACTCACCTAATTTTTTATATTTTTAGTACAGACAGGGTTTCAACAAGTTAGCCAGACTGGTCTGGAACTCCTGACCTCAGGTGATCCACCTGCCTTGGCCTCCCAAAGTGCTGGGATTACAGGCGTGAGCCACCGCGCCTGGTCCTGGAAGATTGTTCTTTTTTTTTGTTTGTTTTTTAAGACGGGTTTTCACCATGTTGGTCAGGCTGGTCTTGAATTCCTGACCTCAGGTGATCCGCCCGCCTTGACCTCCAAAGTGCTTGGATTATAGGCATGAGCCACCACGCCCGGCCCAGGAAGATTGTTCTTTACTGACTTAGGATGCAGTTAGGACTGGGTCAACCTAGGCTCCGACCCATGGGGTGGTGGCAGGACAGTCAGGATCCTGCTGGGGGAAGGCAAGGCAGAGGTGTAGAGAAGGTAGGAAGCAGAAAGAGATCAGGGAGAAGAGGTATCCTAAAGCCCCTTCAAAGTAGCCTGGTGATGTGCCACTCAGCAGCTGCACACTGGTGGTGTGTAGGTGGCTCCCAAAGTGCTTTGTTAGGTCCACGGCCTGCAGTGTGGTTTTTTTTTTTTTTGAGTCTTGCTCTGTTGCCAGGTTGGAGTGCAGTGGTGCGATCTTGGCTCACTGCAACGTCCGCCTCCCTGGTTCAAGTGATTCTCCTGCCTCAGCCTCACAAGTAGCTGGGATAACAGGCACATACCACCACGTCTGGCTAATTTTTGTATTTTTAGTGGGGATGGGGTTTTACCATGCTGGCCAGGATGTGAAGTTTCAATCTCTTGACCTTGTGATTTACACACCTCAGCCTCCCAAAGTGCTGGGATTACAGGCGTGAGCCACGGTGCCCGGCTGGCCTGCAGTGTCTTTCTGTGTGAATGAGGAGTGTGGCAAGGCCCTATATCTGCCTTCCCCACATGCACCCTTACTAGCACACAGGTTCTGCATGGCTGCAAGGCAGTTGGTCCCCCAAGAGGTTCTTGGCCTCCCAGGTCTCCCAGCCTGGCTTACAGTTGAGGGTGGTCACACCAAACAGTCTGACTGGCGAGACAGACACAAGTCTGCTGGTGGCTCTGGGCAGGCAACTGCTTCTCTTTCATTATGGTTATGATTTGAATCTACCCACTGCACACTGAGGGTACTGCCTCTCTTTATAAAAAGGAAGGGACGAGTTTCCGTCTCCCTGCAGATGTGATGTGGGAAGCTACAACTGCCAACTCCTGAGCTTGAGAGAGGGGATGGGAGAATCACTCTGGCCCTGACCCCGAGGCAGCTGAGACTTCGCTGTGTGCCCACAGCTGCCCTTGCCAGGCATGTTTTGTGAGGGAATAATCCTTAGTGCTTAATCCGTTACTGAGGAAGTTTTGCTTTGATTAAGAAATGTCAACATTAAAAAACTAGGAGACTTCACATAAACCCAATCCAGGGATGTGGATCCCCCTGTACAGTACGTGGGGTAAGCCCGTGCAACACTGGCCTAACGAAGGGATCCGAGTGGAGAGTGCCAGGGGATTTATTGAACTAGACACTGTTCTGAGGGGCAAGCAGGGCCTCTCACACTGGAGGGGGCTGGAGGTAGCAGAGCTGGAGGTGGGGCAAGGTGGGAGGTGGGGACTGGCCCAGCAGCAGGACAGAGAGCAGCAGCAGCAGGCCCAGGACTGGAGCTGGGATCAGCGGATACCGTGTGACCCTGGTGGGGAGGTGGGAGAGTGCTTAGGGCAGGGCCCGGGCAGCCCCTGGTCTTCCCAATGTCAGAACACCTCGTTCCTTCT